TTTGTATGAAGTGACAAAAATTACTTACAAAGTGAGGCAATTTTCGGTCCTACGAAAATAGTCACAAAACACTGAGTCTTTTTGACCCAGTTGTAATGCAGACTGTATTATTTGTGTGTTTACATGCAAAGTGAGATGGATTCAACTTTACAGCTGGCAGTATATTTCCAGAAGTAATATTAATGTTTTACAAATGGTCCACCCCTTCTTCAGGGGCTACATGAGATTTCCCTCCTACTGTATTGATTAAGTCTAAAATGCATTTTTAATTCCGCAGGAAGCATCACCATGAATAAAGCCCTGCCCCATTATAGAAGTCAATAGTACTTGTCCTTCTATTTATTTAGAGGCTGTTACTGATAATTGCTAATTTCAAATCTATGGATGTCTTTCTGAACTGACAGGAAATAACGTTCAGATCTATACTACTTACACTTCCTATTTGCCGTATTTGCTGAAGATCCCAATATTTTTAACCATTATCATATTGATTGTTATCATTTGAAATGTCACAGGAACTGCTCTGTATTAAATAGTATTCATAGCCAGAAATGTTTTGAGTGGTGCAGAAATGTAGAAAATGTAGGGGTGATACTCGTTTGTTCATCACAATTCGAGAATATGGAGCCAGTAGGGTTGCCAGCCAATGAAATTGTGTTGCATGAAGACAATGAATAAATAAATAAGCAGGGACACACAGAGGGACGGAGGCAGCGGCTGCCACAGCATCTTCCCTCTGGCCGTTTCCCTCTTTCAAGATACCATATTTTTTGCACCATAACATTCACTTTTTTCCTCCTAGAAAGTAAGGGGAAATGTCTGTGCTTGTTATGGAGGAAATGCCTACGGGTGGCATGCCTACGGATTTTCCTCCTCTAAAAACTATGTGCGTGTTATGGTCGGGTGCTTCTTTTCTTCTTGCCAGCTTCTTTTCTTCTTGCAAGGGAAAAGTTTCAGGTACCATGGGTGACTGCAAAGAAAGGTTGTGTGGCTGAATATTGTTTCTTCAATATATAATCAGGATAAATATGTGGTTTTATAAGATACTTTTGATTGTATTTGTATAAATCAGGGATAGGAACCTGTAACCCCTTCCTGTGTTGTTGGGCCACAACTACTACAACTCCCATGATTCCTGACTACTGGCCATGCTGGCTGGGCTGATGGGAAATGGAGTCCAGAAGCACTTGCAGGGCCATAGTCACTCTGAAGGTTTCAGCTGTTAGAAAGACACATGCTTCTAGATATCAACTTCCTCCCTGACAGTAACACTGAACAGGTGAAGACCTTCTTGTTCCAACAGATTTTTGGGATCTGGCTGCTTTTAATGAGGGGGCTGGTGCCATGCAAGTTTTGTGGTGATTATATTTTTTAAGAGAGAGTTTTAATTCTATTAACCTTTTATTTATTTTTTTATTATCGTTCCCCACCCCACTATGTATTTAGCTGTTCTTATTTCAACATGTAAAATAAGATGCTTTCAGTCCCTGTCAGGGAAAAAGGCAGGGTAAATAAATAATAAAATAAAATAAATAGAATTGCTTCAAAGAGGAGGTGTTTCCTATGGTGCTACCCCTGAGGGCTTTCTGCCACATTTGCTGCCCATGCTGTTCGAACAGTTGAGAGATTCCTCATATAAATTGATGATACCGGGTTCATTGTTTCAGCCTCCACAGCACACATAAATACCTCCATCTGGTAGTGCAGTAGGAAGTATTAAATTCTTTGTCCCATTGTACAAAGAAAGCTTTAAGGTGGAAATGTACATCTAGTAAACTTGGGCCAATTGCTCCCCCACCCCCCACCCCAAAAGCATGAGTACCGGACAAAAGGTAACATAGGCTGCTCAAACACAACAGCAACGGGACATTTTAATTCTCTACATCCAGTGCTATTTCTCTAGAAAAAGAGGTGTCGGAACTAACCATGAACACCTCCCTTGTTAACTTATAATGACAATGGTACCCAGCTGAGAGTTGCCAGAACTGAGTTCCTGTGAGTTCCAGTTGAAAAAAGCCCTGTCCACATCCATCCTCATGATCAAGGTATCTCCCCTGCCAGGTAAGTATCCATCCATCCTCTGAGCCAATTCCACACCAGACCGAAGGCTTACATGTCAACCCTAAACTCAGAATTCAGCAATCTATTCTATTCTATTTATTTCATAAAATTTGTACAACAATTAATTGTAAAAAACAAACAAACCTCAAAGTGGTTTACAAAAGAGAAAACAGGATAATCAAGGGAAAAAACCTGTAACCCTACTTTAAAACATACAAAAGTTAAAATACTAAGAGATTAAAATTATCTCTAGGCATGGGATTTGTGATGACCATGTTCGGTGCCCGAAACAACTTCCCCATTCATGTTAATGGAAAGGAACAACCCATGTGCACATGAAGATTTCTTTTTCTCTTTTGTTTAAATGGATAGGGACTCCCACCCAACTTTTCCCCATCGATGGGTATACTCAGGAGCTTTGTGTGAGCAGGAAATAGCATACAGAACTTTAGATTTGTGCAAGTGACTGGAAAGTCACTGTTGTTTATGTTCCACATAATGGCTATGATCAAAAGTGCATGTTGAATTGTTTAGGATTGGCATGTAATCAAATGGCTCAGCTTCATTGCTGTTGAAGAAAATACTGTTGCACGCCACCCCACTCTCTGAGCGATGTGAGACTCTGGAGGTTCCAGGTGCTGACCCGGAGTTTATGTTTCCTTTGGGTTGAGGCACAGTGGAGACTGCGGAATCTTTATAATATATTGTTTATTTACACACAGTGCTTTTTTTCTGGGGGTATGCAGGGGTGCGCAGACCCCTAAACATTTTGTGAATCCAGGTTTGGCCTCATTGAAGGGCAGTATTTCAATATGAGTAGGAAAATGAGACTAAATGTTTTTTTTAAAAAAAAAAAGAGCACTGCAATGGATTAGGCAGAAATTAGGCCTGGCTCCGCCTGCCAGCTGCCAGCCTGCAGCCTAACTTCCAGCTTCCTTCTTCCCTCCTCCTTCCATGTGCTGTAACTTCCCCTGCTTTTTCTCTTTCCCATTCTACCCTCCCTCCTCTACTCTCCCCATCTTTCTCTTCCTTCTTCAGCCCCACTCTCTCTCCTCGTCCACCCTTACTCCCTCACATATGGGAGCCGGGATCTCTATTTTACATAAAAGAAGCTCTGTGCTTATACTGTATATCCTCATCATTTTAAAAAACAGTGTCGTATCAATTATTGAAGGTGTTCTTTGCATTCACGTTACGTCTCTAATGCAACAGAGTGTGCTTCTCCCTTTTTTCTTGCCCTTCAAATTACATATCTATGAAACCAATGATATATTTGGTAAACAGGATATTGTCAAATGAATTCATACACAACATTAAACTGTGTATTAAAGATGTTTGTAACAGGAGGCAAAACAGGAAGAGGAATCCATTATAAAATATGCAGAAGACAGAAGAAAGTAAGGTGGGAAGAAAGGTTAAACTAGAACTGAGCAATAATGACAATATAATTTTTTTGGGGGGGATGTATTTTCATTGTTGAAGAAGTAAGGAGCTTTGCACATACATTAAGAGTTGTGTATTCTTCCCATCTCCAGTAGGACTGTAGCCTGAATGTGAGCTTATGGGCAGGGATTTTTATGTGTTTTGTACAACACCTAAAGTTTTTATGGGTTTGATTCATAATTATTTATAATTGGTAATTATTATTAAATTTCAGCTCACTGTTTGATTACATATTCATCTCTTGGAGTTTCAGAAAACACATTAAGGTAAAGGGACCCCTGACCATTAGGTCCAGTCGTGACCCGACTCTGGGGTTGCGGCGCTCATCTCGCTTTATTGGCTAAGGGAGCCGGCGTACAGCTTCCGGCTCATGTGGCCAGCATGACTGAGCCGCTTCTGGTGAACCAGAGCAGCGCACGGAAACGCCGTTTACCTTTCCGCCAGAGCGGTACCTATTTATCTACTTGCACTTTGACATGCTTTCGAACTGCTAGGTTGGCAGGAGCAGGGACCGAGCAACAGGAGCTCACTCTGTCACGGGGATAAGAACCGCTGACCTTCTGATCTGCAAGTCCTAGGCTCAGTGGTTTAACCCACAGCACCACCCGCATCCCTTCTATGGTCCAAGGGTTAATGGGATTCAAATGCATATTAATGGCAGTGGGGGCAGGGAATGACTCCTAATAATGGAGGGCTATTTTTCAGCTTTGGTTTCACCTCAGGATTTGTGACTGAGTGTGGAATTACCTGGAAGCTCACAAGGCAAGGTGATGTGGCTGACAACCTGTGTATAGCTCCAGAAAGGTCTCCAACAAGGTGCCCGTGGCTACAATGGTGCCCTTGCGACATGAGTCCCCTGCAGGTGCCTTGGAGGTGATGGCCAGGTCTTAACGGAGGAATGAGAGGATCTGGAGGATCCCACGGAGGGCCTTGCTAGAGTTATGTGGAATTCCCTGATCTGGACCTTGAACAGAGGATGACTCAGTAAGCTCTCCACACCAAGAAAAGAGTTCCAAGTTTTTACTGCAAACTGACTTTAAGCTTGTTACAAAAAAAATCTGTTGCAAATGCAAACAAGTAGGAATGCAGTCCAGTTTTCTTTAGGTTCCTCCTTGTTAATATAGTCAATGGGTAGGCAAACTAAGGCCCGGGGGCCGGATCCGGCCCAATCGCCTTCTAAATCCAGCCTGTGGACGGTCTGGGAATCAGCATGTTTTTACATGAGAAGAATGTGTCCTTTTACAGTGGTACCTCGGGTTAAGTACTTAATTCGTTCCGGAGGTCCGTTCTTAACCTGAAACTGTTCTTAACCTGAAGCACCACTTTAGCTAATGGGGCCTCCTGCTGCTGCCGCACCGCCGGAGCATGATTTCTGTTCTCATCCTGAAGCAAAGTTCTTAAACCGAAGTACTATTTCTGGGTTAGCGGAGTCTGTAACCTGAAGCGTATGTAATCTAGGTACCACTGTATTTAAAATGCATCTCTGGGTTATTTGTGGGGCACAGGTATTATATATATATATATATATATATATATATATATATATATATATATATTCCGGCCTCCCACAAGGTCTAAGGGACAGTGGACCGGCCCCCTGCTGAAAAAGTTTGCTGACCCCTAATATAGTCCAAGAATTATTCTCTGTCTGGTCCCAGAGAGAGATTCAGATAAGCAAGTTGCTTCCTCAATATGCTGGCAGCTTCTGAGAGAGACCAAGACTCTCGGGGATGAGTCATTGATTCACATGAATGGAACAAAGACCCCAGCCTCTTTAGGTACCTTCTGCAATTGCTACATGTAGTTCTCTGCAAAACAGACATTCTTCAAATGCAAACCTCCACATAACATTTTATACGCAATGCACTCAAACATAGCATTTTATGCGCATTAAACATGTGTTTTATAAGCCCTAACAGGTTCAGGGTGACAGATTCCAAACCCTCAGAGTTTACTGGCCCAGGGAGGTTCTCAGAACGAGCTTACTCAGAACCAGCTCTTACCTAGGACATGGAGATTCAAGCACACCCAGAGCTTGCGCAGCCAACCCAGTAGAAAGAGTGCCACCTTGCTTGCTCCGTCCACAGACTCCAACAGTTTGCTGATCTCTTCAAAAGTAAGCTGCAGAAGGCATATTACTTGTTGATTCAATGTCTTAGCTCAGGGGTTTTCAACCAGTGCACCGTGACACTCGGGTGCCTTGAAGGATGGTCAGGGGTGCGACTGGCAACACTGGCCTCTGTCCCTGTTTCTTTTCCTCCCTCCTCAGATGCCCTCTTGCGTCTCTGCCTCCCAAAGGCTTCCGCGGCTGTTTGTTGCAGCAGCCCTGGCTACAAGCTCCATGGGCGAATGGTGCTTCTGGGGCTGGCCAGGGGGTGCTGGTTGCCAGGAGCTGAGGCGGCCTCAGAGTGAGCAAGCAAATGGGCAAGGGAGCCCAGCCAGTCCGCCAGTCCACCAGCCCTTGCTGTTGGGAATGGATGGACAAGTGGGAGACTGGGCAGACAGGCAGGTGTGCTGGCCTTTCTTGTGCTGGTGTGTGCAATGCCTGCATGGAAGCTGAGTGCCCAGTGCCAAAGGGGAGGCTTTTTTGCATGCAGGCCCAGTGGTGCCCGCTGCTGCCGCTGGTGTCTCCCAAGGTGAGTAAGGTGCTGGCCTTTGGCCAGTCTTTGTTGGGCTGCTAAAGCTGGGGGCATCCTCTTCCCAGGCCCCTAAGGAGCAGTGTGGGGCCTGCTCTACTTTCAGGCAGTCTGGATCCAAGTTAGGATTGTCAGTTTGTCTGCAACTCCTCTACCATTTATATGGCATCCGGATTGGCAGACATTAGCAACTGAGATTGCTTATCTCCATTCTTTACTGATATCTGCAGATCCAGGTACTGTTAAATGACACCTATGCAAGACAGGCCTTTTTTTTTGCTGGGCAGTTGGCAATCCTAAGAGCATCGCTAATGCTGTCCATGGCAATGCTTCTTACTATCATTCACTGCATCTTGCAAAATGATTAGCTGCAATGTGGTTGAGCTTTGAGCTTTGTGATTTAAGCATCCCAATAGCTTAGGAAATTTCAGCTGTGTTGCTACAGGGTCAAGGACTCTGTGTCCTTCAACCTTTTAACCAAATTGTTGAATCATTTGTATAGAAGTCTTATCTGACTGTAGTTAATTGTCAGCATTAAACTAAAACACTGCCTGCTTATTACTGGGAAATTCTAATTACTTGCATACATTAGCTTTAATTCCCTGATAAGCAAGGCTCGGTTGTATTCACTGTGACTGCAAGATGGAATTAATTGGCAGCAGGTTGAAAGTGCACAGTACTATCTGCATTTGAGAAAAGGACATTGAAATAGTGTAGTAATGGCAACCTGCCTCCAGCTTCTGGGAAATCACCAGAAAACATGACAACCATCCTGAATAGCAATAGAAAAGTTGAATTCAGCTGAATTTTACCCAGAGTATACCCACTAACATTAAGTCAGGCCCATTAATTTCAATAGGTCTGCTCTGAATTAAATTTAGTTTAATATCACCCATTGAAACTAGGGGAAAGCCCAAGACTTTTGCTTCCTGACGCAAAGGACAAGATGCACTCCCCCCCCCCCCATTCCACATACAGAAGCCAACCAGACTAACAGGTGAATCCTCACTAGTGAAGGGACAGCAAACTTCACCATACCTGCAGAAAGCAAGCTAGGTTAGCAGGCACAGCCCCCCCCCCGACACAGACAGGTCTGTCCACAGCTGTGATAATTGAACCCGCATCTGCTGTCTGAGGTGGCTGAGTCATGACTGTGATACCCTTTTTCTGTAGAGCTTAAGGGGGAAATGTTGCATTGGTGAACAAATTATTAAACTCTTCTTAAGTTAAGGTTGCCATATGTCCAGGTTTTCCTGGACCTGTCCTCTTTTGGGGGGCCAGCAAGCTCATCCAGGCAGTGGTGGAGGAACCCTCTCTGTCACCCGGGGCAGGACGCCGAGGGGCGGGGCAAACCGCCTGGTGTCACATGTGTGATGTCCATATGGACTGTGCATGCGTGGCAGCTGGTATGGATGCCACGCACAAGTGGCAGCCTGTACGGACGCCCATACAGATGCCATGCGCGAGTGGCAGCCTGTGCGGACTGTGCAGGAGTGGCAGCCCATATGGTCGCCGTGCAGATGTGGTGCGAGCGGCGCCCGCACTGACTGCGTGTGCGCCCTCTGCTGCTCTACAGCTGGGGGGAGGCAGCAGACCATCTTGTCACACACCCCGGTGGTGCCCAGGGTGGATCGCCCCCTCCGCCCCGCCCCCTTCATACGCCCCAGCATCCAGGCAGATTTTTGCATTTTACACAAAATGTCCAGGTTTGGGGTTGTTGTTCTTTTAAAAAAAATATTTTAAAATTTATTTTTGAGTAAGGCACGCGCATGCTCGGGAAGGTGTTGTGCTCCAGAAGCGGAAGCACTGCAGTGGCTGTTCCAGGGGAGGTCCTCGTGTGTGAAGTGCCTGTGCACTGTGCCACCTCTGAGAGGAAAGGGAGCGACGGGGGTGGGTGGGGGAATGTGGGAAGGAAAGAGACAGAAGCCGGGAGGCTGTTCCTGAGGTACTTGGACTGATCCCTAATGGGCATGGGTTTTTTTATGGGGGGGGGATCCTACGCGCGTGCACACACACACACTAGCTTCCTCTTCCCTCCTTCCCTCATTTGATTCCAGGGGAGAGGGAGCGATGGAATGCTGGGTGGCGGCTGCTGGCTGGCCAGGCTGGCTCAGGTTATGGGGGCTTCCTGGGCCCACTGGCTGACCTAGGAGCTGCTGGCTACCTGTGCGGTGATTGGCGCCCTAGGCTGGATGCTGCGCTTGCTGGGGAGGAGGCTTAGTGGCCTAGATTCAAGGCCAGGTACCTGCAGCGGGAGCAGTGCTGCCACAGCAGCCCCCGCCAAGGTGAGAGAGCGAGTGAAAAAGAAGCACAGGAAGAGGAGAAGGGTCGGGCGGCCAGAGGAGCAGTGCCCCACAAAGCTCTCTGCTCCTGCATCATCTGTTTATAACATGCACATTTGTCATTTGAGCATCACAAGGTTTGTTGCTGAGACAGGGAGAGGAAGGATTAAATATATACAGTGATACCTTGGTTCTCAAACGCCTTGGTACTCAAACACCAAAAACCCGGAAGTACAGTACAGGGTTCTCAAACTTAATCCGTTCCGGAAGTCCATTCCAAAACCAAAGCGTTCAATAACCAAGGCGCACTTTCCCATAGAAAGTAATGCAAAATGGATTAATCCATTCCAGACTTTTAAAAACAACCCCTAAAACAGCAATTTAACATGAATTTTACTATCTAATGAGACCATTGATCCATAAAATGAAAGCAATAATCAATGTAAAGGTAAAGGGACCCCTGACCATTAGGTCCAGTCGTGACCGACTCTGGGGTTGCGGCACTCATCTTGCTTTCTTGGTCAAGGGAGCCAGCGTACAGCTTCTGGGTCATGTGGCCAGCATGACTAAGCCGCTTCTGGCGAACCAGAGCAGCGCACGGAAACACCATTTACCTTCCCACCGGAGCGGTACCTATTTATCTACTTACACTATGACGTGTTTTAGAACCACTGACGTTCTGATCGGCAAGTCCTAGGCTCTGTGGTTTAACCCACAGCGCCACCCGCGTCCCTAATAATCAATGTACTGTACGATAAAATAAATAAGACAGTATTGTAGATGATTAAAATTAAAACTACCTGCACTGATGATAGTCATTTTTGGGATGGGGGGCTTTTATCCATTTCCACAGTCATGCAATCAACCAATCAGTAGCTGAACTGGGTTCCACAGAGTCACAAGAACAAATTAACTGGAAAACCCTCAAAAACAAAAATGCAAATAAGACAACACAAAATGTTGATTGTAAAAGATTAAGTTTTATTTATGTTTGTGAAAAAATCAATAAAAAGCATTAAAAAAAATGCAAAATAAATAGCAAAAACAAAAGCTCCAAACTTAATCCGTTCTGGAAGTTAGTTTGACTTCCAAAATGTTCAAAAACCAAGGCACAGCTTCTGATTGGTGCAGGTGCCCCAGAAACAATAATTGACAGCTGCATTGGACATTCGGCTTCTGAAAAATGTTCAAAAACCAGAACACTTACTTCTGGGTTTGGGGGCGTTTGAGAACCAAGGTGTTTGAGTACCAAGGCATCTGAGAACCAAGGTACCACTGGACCACTGTATATCACGTTTAGGCCCAAATGATATATATATATATTTTATCACTGGTGTGTGTGTGTGTGTGTCGGGAGTCTGTGCTTTGCAAAAAAACTGATCATCCACCAGCCATCCGGCCCCCGGCTAGTCTCAATGCCACCTGCTGGCCCACCTTCCCCAACCTGCTGGCTGCTCTTCCCACCCTGGTTCCATGGCTCCACAGCCATGTTGCGCTTTGTTAAAAAAAAAAGGGTAGGGAAGCAAGCAAATGGGGACTTTACAATAGAAAAGCCTTCGTTCTTGCAGGGAACCCCCCCACACCAGAGGACGGGGACGGATTTGGAGTGGCTTTTGAGCATGTTCTGTAGCAACAGACGTAGCCAGTGCAA